TTTAATTATTCAGAAAATTTGCGAAAAATCGTGCACTCTGATGTATTTAAAATAGCGGGGTGTTACAGCTTGGTATCAGAGCGCGTTTTTGCGTCTCTGAAAAGTTTTTCAGTCAATAATTTTCAGAAAAACCTGAACCGTCATGCTCACGCCTCGCCGACACCATGTAAGTGCTGATTCAGTTTTTCAGTTATAAACATATTACTTTGTCTATGCTCAGAAATCAGTAATCAGACTTAATTAAGATGCTCGATTCAGATTCGGACTTTAGAGTTCAGATATAACTCTAGAATTCAGTGGATTCAGACTTGACTTTAGAGATCAGTATATTCAGATATGACTCTAGACTTAGTACCTTTCGATATGACTCTAGAGCTTCCTCAGGTTTCATGTCAGTATTTATCGGCCATTTTTGGCAACTCGTCAGGAGATCTGTGTGCCTTAGTAATCAGTCAGAATATCATCATGTGTTCAATAATTTTGAACCTTCGCAATGTTCAGATGGCACCAACTCAGGCTACAGTGGTCGCTCAGTTCCGCGACTATCATGCCGAGAAGTTCTCAGGACAGGGAGATCCGCGCGCAGTAGACGAGTGGATTCAGAACCTTAGAAAGGGATTAAGTTTGAGAGCTCTAGATTCAATTCTAGATTCATTCAAGTCAAGTTATCAACTTGTCAAGAGATTTGTAAGTACTTGTGCTAAACAAATCTTAATCCTGTTCAAGGCAAATTTTTCATGTTAACGGTTGTTATAATTTTCAAGTCATCGTTAAGATAACGGTTTCCAGTGTATAAGAGTCAATAGTCCGGGTTACCATGGAGGCTTGAAATAATAGCCACTCAGCCGGGTATACCATGGAGGCTTGAAGCTGAAACCAGAGCAGTAACAACCTTTCAAGTCAGTCATGTCAGATATTTTATCAGTCATGATATTTCAAGTTATGATTTTCAAGGATCAAGATCAGCTAATTACTTGTACTTGCGGACCAGTTGATACTGGAACAGCCCTATACAGTACAGAGTTACAATTTCATGTTCTCGATTTGCAGCCTATATGCATGATATAAGGTCGACGTATAATAGTTGTTCAGCCGGGTTTAATGTGGCGGTCTGATGTACAGACCATTAGTCCAAATTTACCTGGGAACTTGAAGTCGTACCTTATCAAGTCAGTAAGCCAGTAAATATCTCGTTTTCAATCTCGAAGCGACTATTTAAGTTGTCTCGGAATAGTTTCAGCGCTCAGGCAAAGATGATTCAGTCATGTAAGAGTCAAGTCATGATCATTCATTTATATGAATGTTCAGGCCAGTCCTGTTAAGATCAAGGATAGTCTGTCTAACAAGA